TACGTTTATTTAACTTTTTATTGTTATACTAAAGATTTACGGATTTTTAAATATTTATAAGAAAGTAGTTAGTAAAAATATTCTCTATAGTGGCTATATTTTAAAAGGGACAAGATAGTTACTGAAACCACTATGTAGGTGTGCAGGTTTTAGATAAAACACACAAAATAATTTTAATTGCATCATCCAGGAAGTACTGAAACCTATAAGAGAAAGAGATTTGTTCAGTTTACAAATAAGACAAAATGAAGCATACCTTGCACGCTAAGCCATACTTTATGCGCAAGCAAATGCTAAGTATTGACGAGGTACTGGAATGTTTGGCCAATGTCAATAAAAACCATGTGGCACATAGAACTGCTCAAAAGCCGAAAGGAGGGGATGTTTTTGTGAATCAATATCAAGAAAATGCTAATAAAAGTATGCAGTTTATTAAATATAATTTGTATTTGTTTTGTATATATTTTATCAGGATTCGGAAATCTGAAATTTGTTGTGTTTCTATATCATAATCGCAACCAATGAGATTTTTAAATATTTGTTAAACACATTTTTATTTTTTAGATGATTGGGTGGCAGATGGTTATCACTGGATTAATAATGGAAATGATCGACTTCCCAGGAAACATCCTGTCACATATAAGGGCAAGTTTAAATCACATAATACAGCCGAGTTATCTTTGAATTTTCGCCGTTTTGCTTTTGTTTCAATTGACTTGTCTATATATCCATATATTATCGTGCAGTATGTTGGCGATGAATCAACTGCTTTATCATTTCCGCATGGCAATAGTAAAAAAACATCTACGACACGATCTTATGAACGGACAGCACCTTCGGTACTGGCTAATCTTGCTAACGAGTTAAAAGAGCATAATCCTTCAATTGTGCATAAGAAATCATTAACAAGTACGGAAAACATCAATGTCATTCATCGAAATATTAAGCATGTGTAAAATAATCGAGAAAGGATAACTACCAGTCGAAAACTATCCAACGACAGCATCGCTAATTTACACGATGTTGCATTTGATCTTCAAGATTTTATTTGGCTAATACAAACGTTTCCCGACTTAATTATTGTTGCAGGGCGGAAAGATCTACTGTCTCATTTGAATAAACTTTTACTAGCGAATGGAAAAACACATACGCAAATGTTGACCTACGTTACAACATTTAATTTTGGAGAGTTTTACATATCTGTTTTTCTAATGAGAGGAGTTTGTTTTACCGAAAATCTAGTAATACCAGCGATGTTCATGATTCACGAAAGAAAGTTAAAAAGTACTCACCAAACGTTTGTTGATATTTTAAAAGAAAAACTACTGGCGTTAACAATAACCAATTGCGCACTTGTGACTGATGGTGAAACAGCATTCGATGTTTTTGAAGAAGTTCTTCCAAAAATTAACAAGTTAATTTGCTGGAACCATTTATTTAAATCAACAAAGCAATGGCTAAAAAAGCATAATGCTACTTCCACTGACATTGCCGTGTATCTTGATCTTGTCAAAAGTGTTCTCCATTGTCCGACGGATGCAACCTACTTTAAGATGTATAATTCTAAGGTAAAGCTTTGGAGTCAACCATTTCGAATGTACTACAACAATACAATCCATAAAAATGCGGGTACTAAAATCGGCCGTGTTGTATTGGAACGGCTAAATGTATACGACAAAAACTCGGGTATAACACAAAACATGTCGGAAGGTTTTAATACGGTCATGCGTCGTGTGCATGAATGGCAGGAGGTTCCAATTGATATGAGTGTACTTATTCTTTACCACCTTCAGTGATATTATGTCAACTCCATCAATCTTGGGTTTGGTGATCAAGGAGATTATCATCTACTAAAAGACGAGTTTCCTCATCTTGCCCTAGCGAAAGAAAACGTAGTTGTAGAAAAAGTTCTGCCACCGGAGGAACTTGTTTCTGAAATGAAACGACAGAACAAAGATTTTATAAACAATGTAGTAAAAGAAGAAAAAAACGTTTGTACCATGTCCGAAAATCTTCGATGTCAGGCTGTTCTTGAGAATGCTGGGTCAATTCAATTCAATCCATCTATGAAATGTTTTTTGGTAAAAGGAACCAGTAACGAGGTATATTTGGTTCGATTAAACGGATTAAAAAAAACATGTACATGTCGACCAGTAAAAACATGTTACCATATTAAAGCTGCGCAACGTCTCGTTAGTGCACCGGTTGCAATTGACAAAAAATCAACAAACCTAACACAACTACGTCGAAACAAACGTAACGTCAAACAACGTCTAGGAAGAAAGCAACCGCGAATCGGAGATTGTGATGTCAATGCTGCTCCTGACGCCGAAAGTGATGACGACAATAGTGCAAATAAAGAGATTGTCTCAATGAATAACGAAGAATGTAATGCAACCGCATCACATATAGAAAAAATTAATTCTAAAGAATACTTGGACGTTGAATTACGAGTTGATATGCTGTTACCCCATGAAAAATTTGTTATCGGTAGTTGCACACTTAACAGTGACAATTTAGCAACACTAAATTCAGATGAGTGGATAAATGATGCTGTAATTCACGCCTACCTCAATCTACTTATGGACTTAAACAAGGCTACAAAGGGCAATCTAGTTTATATCCTGCCTTCTTTTTTGGCTTAGCGATGGCATGAAAAAAACCTTGATGGTTGGCTGTATAAAAGTGTCCGTCTACGCAAATACCATTGCATTCTTTCACCTCTCCACGTCAATAACAACCACTGGACACTATTAGTTGCAAACACTCTTGATAATACAGTTGGAATTGCGGATTCCCTTAATGGTGATAATAGTTTAAAGCTTGATATGTTTGTGAAATACATGATATCACGGTCATCTGTTACTAATGAACTTAGAGAATGGGACAAAGTTATTTTTAATGCACCTCAGCAGCTTGATGGGAATAGTTGTGGAATTTTTACATTAATGTTTGCAGAAGCTGTTACCAACAATGTGGACATCAGTATTGTAGATCCAACGGCTGTAACATTTTACCGTCGATACATTCGTGCTAGACTAGTATAATGCATGTGCGCTAACGTCAATAACGAAGATATACGTGACACACCGTTTTGTGTTAAACCCCTTGGGGCTCGTTTAAATTGGTCACAGTGTGATCAGTGCAATCGTTGGTGTCATAATGCCTGCGCATCATGCCAATCTTCTCACACCACTTTTTTATGTAGCCGATGCATTTGAAAAAATAAATCACTAGTTTATAAAATCTCAATAATTTTTTGTCAACTTTGTAAAAAAATATTATTTTTAATAAAAAAAATAAAACATTATTCCTTAATACTTGTGAACTTGATATAATAATTATATTAGTTAGTTTATCCCGAAAAAAAATGGCCTTGGCCGGCTTTTAGGTTTTTGGGCCGGGCCGGGCCGGGTTTTAGGTACAACCAACAAAGTTAGTCGTCTTCTACAATCTGAAGCTATTACCATCGATAACAAGCTATATTTGATTGGACAGCTGCTGAAAGCATAATCCTAAGTTAATATTTTAAAATCAAAAGGTTCTTATTTTCTGGCAAATAAAGACTTATAAGATTTTAGTTATTCGAGTCTTTTTTTTACCGCAACACCGGGAAATAACTGTATCTTAAAAGTATATTATATGTATAACATAATATTAAAACCATAAAGTATATATTTCATTCATAAAACAGTTAAATTTTTCAAAAAAACATTCAACACATCATTCAATAATAATTTAGCACGGTCTAGACGAGTTTTAGTCAGGTCTAGACAGGTTTTAGTCAGGCTTAGACGTGTTTCCTAACAAAAACTATATTCTTAGACTAAAATTTATTTTCATAAAGACCTATTGCAATAAGCTTACACAGGGCATTCGCAATTATGATTTCTTATTTGCATTTCATGTTTCTTAATTTCATGTTTTGATTTCCTTATTATAAATTTCATATTTTCAATGCAGCTTTAGATGTTGAAGTGTGTTTTTTCTTTTTACAAAACAGATAAAATTAGGTAATAAGTAGTGTGATTGAAGAAGATTATGTTTCTTGAAAATATAATTTATTACCAAGCAACAAAGTTTCAAAATTTTAAAAATGTTCAATTTTTTTATTTAATGTTTCTTTTATAATTTGACCATGGAAATTTTATGTGACATAATTTCAAGTTGCTTTTAGGTCTTGAGTTAGTTGAAATGAATTTTTTTTTCTTTTTTGCAGTTATATAATAACTATCATGTTATTCTTAAGTTTTTAAGTTTAAAATTTTAAAATTATTTACTATAATGGCTTTTAGTGATTTTAGTTTCACGAACTACAAATCAAGTCAACAATGAGATGTTTGACCGGATGATAATTATCTGTAAAAGCAAGATAAAACTTATAGTAAACTTTGCTTTCTTCACCAATAACGTTATTATTTAGTAAACGGTTTAAATTTTTTGAAATAGAAGAGGAGAATGCAGAGAAAGTGGAGAAGTAGTGAAAGAAAAAAAATGGAGAAGAGAAGAAAGTGAGAATAAAAAGAAAATGGAGAAGTGTGAAGAAAGTGGAAGAAAGAAAGTGGAGAAGTGTGAAGAAAGTGGAGAAGAAAGAAAACAGAGAAGTGGAGAAAGTGGAGATCTAGAGAAATGGAGAAAGTAAACAAGTGGAGAAAGCAAAAGCAGAATATTTTAAAAGCACAAGTGCAGAACTGCTTGCATCCAGGTTAAGATGGAATCTTTTGCAAAAAGATTCATCATTTTTTGTCACATAACAAAAAAAGCCATAATTATTGTCACATAAATATAACATTGTTATCAAAAGTAAAATATCTGTTTTATATTTTTGAAACATAACAGTTTTAACAGAACTTCAACCTTATCAATTTTAAAAGAGACAGATTTTTTGGGAGGGCCAAATTACCACCTTGAATAGCACTAGATGAACTTCCTTGCCTTTACTTTATATATGTTATATCATTCTATGAAATGTATACTTATATATACTTTATGTTTCTTAGGTCAAAATCGTTTAGTATACTATTGTGGATTTGAAAATGATCTTTGTGGCTTAAGTGGAAACGAAAATGCTTGGTTAAGGTACAATCAAAAAACACCATCTTTTAATACTGGACCAGCTTTGGCATATGGTAATGTATATTACAATAAAATGTTCAACATATATAAAACAATACTGTAATGATCTAAGATTTATTTGTAACTTTTTTGTACTATTATTGTTGTTGTTGTTGTTCTTCTTCTTCTTCTTCTTCTTCTTCTTCTTCTTCTTCTTCTTCTTCTTCTTCTTCTTCTTCTTCTTTTTCTTATCATCCTCATTATTATTATTAT